GTGAATGTGTGAGTGCGTGTGTTTATGTGTTAGATTTGTCCAATAAAGTCTTATTTATATTGAAAAGAGAGGTATCTTGTGTTTTGTGCTTAACTGCCGATCTTGTTACTGTGCTGATTAATTGTGTTTTCACTATATTTTGGATTTTAATATCCATTGCAGAGTTGATGTTATACGGCTCGTTCAATGAATCGCTGGCCAATTCAGTTGATCAGCCATAAAACAGTGATTCTGTTCAAATTCCCTATAAAATCAAAAAGAATTGCCTTTGAACTAAATTGACCTGTTTCCCTTACACCCCTAACTATAAATATTAAACATGAGAAGCCAGCAAAGTTCATTCTGATTTTTTTTCTATACATCATTTCATTCAGTTTGCCTCTTTTTACATTATAATCACATGGCAACATGTAAACAGTATATCTTTTGTGTCTCATTCTGCTGAATTATTTTGAAATAAAACATCTTTGTTGCTCATTGTCACCAGTTCAGCAGACAGCACAGTGCTGGATGAAAGCCTGAGTCTCCCTACACGAGTCGTGAGCAGCATGTCAATTCGTCCCGCTCACACTCTGTGTGTGTGTGTGTGTGTGTTTACGGTGTGTTGACAAGAACAGCTCCAGTTTACACTCTCTGACAGCTTGTGAGGATGAACTGAGAGTGAGAGGCAGGTCACTAGTTCACTTCAAACAGAAAAGACCATGCAAACCACATTTTTTCTCCAGTTGCGTAATTATTGTTTGAGATATATGACAATATAGCTTACTTTAGAATAGCATATTTATTAATTCATTTATATGTAGTAGTTCCCGCATACTGCACCAACATGGTGGGTTTGGTCACATCATTTAAAGAGTTACTTCTAGAAAAAATGAACATTCGAAAATCGTTCAATCACTCTTATCATTAACATGTATATTTATTTGGCTGAAATCGGAAGCCTGAGGTGCAAACATCTCTTTTCTGCGGTTTGTTTGACAGTAAAGGCTGCTTCTAACAAACTCTTGATTTCTGCATCCACTGTGAGCTTAATGCACATTTGGGACTGCAGTGTGTGCTAACAATTTCCAACAATTATGTGGACAGAACTTTACAAATAATACATATTTTATCTGTTTACTTGCATGTCACGTGCCACTAACCAACATCAGAGAAAAGAAAATAGTTAGTAAAGAAAACAGGGGTTCATAGAAAAATGTTTGCTAACTCCTGCCATAGAGGAAGGGCTCTGACTGTAATCTAGTCCCTTCACATTCCAGTGATGTGATTGGCTGATGAAGTGTCCACACAGTAATGCTATTATTTCTCCAGTCTAAAATATACAGCTTGAACATTTTTTATTTTAGAAAGTTTTACCTATCTATTACTACCAAACCACTAAAACAACCTAGGCATTGTGCAGAAAAGATTTTTATAAATTGTTGTGGGACAACAGCAATCATTTTCTGAATGAATATTAAATGATTACTGCAGGTTTTGAGGAATAAAAGTAAGCCTATTACATATGAGAGAGTCAAATCGCAAAGAAAAGTAAAAATACAGTTTAAAATACATATAGTTTTGAAAAACTTTTTAAGAAAACTTACGAATATCATTAATGACTTCTTAATATAACAAATTATTTATTCGTAATTTCGTAATTATGTTTTGGGGGACCACTTTTTACCAATTTTACAATTTTTACCTTGCCTTGTCATTTTAATATAAAAATTAAAACAGTAATCATAGCTTTCAGAGGTTTTTTTAAGTCACTGTATGAATGGTATTTTAAATAATGGCTTCTAAATAAATTAATAGATGTGATTCTTACTCATATTTAGTTCAGTTTAGCATTCAATTTAATTTAGCATATCACAAGCTGGCTTGAATGTAACCATTAGAAGTTATTTAAATATAAAACAAAATAAATGCATACTGTAGCAGACCATTTTAAACATATGACATGTATAAAGTAATAAACAAAATGACTGATGTAGCTGTGCTGCTTGACAAAAATAGAAATCGAGTGTCCAACTGAATGAAGGCACCACATTGGGTTCTTGAAGTGTAGACAGACTCGTTGATTATAATGGGAGCAATTAATTTTAATTAGCAGCAGTATTAAAACATGTGAGGACATTATCCTGCCCCTCGGCCTCTGCTGTTACTGGATCAGAATCAGCAGGTTTGACAGCCAAGAACATCCTTTTCTTCTGTGGAAATACCAGAATTCTATGTAGGATCCCCATTTAAACCCCTAAGATATCATTTGGTAGTTGTTTTATCAGCCTTATCTGATGCAAACAGCATTTGTTAGTGTTAGTCCAGAACAACCCAGCCCATTGAAGTAAAACTTCACCACTGTAGTGGTTGAAAAGAGAATTTGAAATGCCAGCTTCCCTGCTGCCCACTACAAATGTATCATTTATGACATCAGTGGTTCTCAGCTGGTTTCATTTCAGGACCCTGGCTTTACACTGGACATCAAATGGCTACGTGGATGACAGCATGTCACGCAACCTGTCCATGTTGGCATCTGCCTGATTCGGCTGCTTCTAACAGGTGACAGATGAACGTTCACCAAAATACAGTAGAGTTTGATTTAGGATGGAAAGACTTTAATGCAACCAGCCTTTTCCTTACCCTATTTTGTTATTCACCAACGGGTCCTTTGCAGTGAATGGGTGCATCAGAACAGGAGTCCAAACAGCTGATAAAAACATCACAAAAATCCACAAGTAATCCACACAACTCCAGTCAATCGAACAGCTGTGTTTTGCAGTAAACGAATCAATCTTTAAGATGTCTTTATCTTCAAACTGCTTCTTCGGACTAAAAATTGAGTCCTCTATGTTGCCTTCTCCAGTGAAAAAGTCATATAATCGGGAGATAAATATGCCCAGATTAAAGGGTTAGTTCACCCAAAAATGAAAATTAGCCCATGAATTACTCACCCTCAAGGCATCCTAGGTGTATATGACTTTCTTCTTTCAGACGAATCCAATCGGAGTTAAAAATTGTCTTTGACCTTCCAAGCTGTTTAATGGCAGTCAGCGGGTGTTGCTGTGCATCAGTCCAAAAGAAGTGAAATAAAGCGCATCCATCCATAATAAAAAAAAAAGTGCCTCACACGGCTCCGGGGGGTGAACAAAGGCCCCCTGTAGTGAATGGATGCGTTTTTGTAAGAAAAATAACCATATTTAAAACGTAATAATCAATTTAATCTAGCTTGCGCTCACTGTTGTACACGGAAGCAGCTCCGGACGGATGACGTAGGACGTCGGCGTTGCGCATGCGCCGCTCAGAAGTGACGAACGTGGAAGCTCAGGGTAGAGATCAAAACAAAACAACGGTCACGAATTAGAAATACAAAACGAGGATTTGTAAAGAAGAATGTCGGAGGATTTCAATATTAGCCAAGAGGATACTTTGCTTCCTTTGCTCCTATTAATAAACGTTGGTTTTCACTAGACTGACCAGCACATGCGCAACGTCGACATCTTACGTCATCCTCTAGGAGCTGCTTCCGTGTATAACTGTTGGCACAAGCTAGATTAAAGTGATTATTACGTTTTGAATATGGATATTTTTCTTACAAAAACGCATCGATTCGCTGCAGGAGGCCCTTGTTCACCCCCTGGAGCCGTGAGAGGCACTTTTTATTATGGAAAGATGTGCTTTATTTCACTTCTTTTGGACTGATGAACTGCAACACCCACTGACTGCCATTAAACAGCTTGGAAGATCAAAGACAATTTTTAATATAACTCCGACTGGATTCATCTGAAAGAAGGAAGTCATATATGCCTAGGATGGCTTGAGGGTGAGTAAATAATGGACTAATTTTCATTTTTGGGTGAACTATCCCTTTAAAGCACCGTTTACAACAGTCCAAAACACTTTTAAACAAATATTTCGGTGGATTTTGATGTGAGAGGACAACAACAGATTAACTTTTTCACTGGAGGAAGAGATATTATGCATTATGGACTATTATTTTCATCAGATGTGGTTAAATGTGGTAGATTTGATTAAAATGCCTTAATGATGGAATTGTTTCTTACAAACATGCAGCTTTTTGCTTCACAAGATGTTAATTCATGGACTGGAGTCATGTGGATTACTTGTGGATTAATGTGATGTTTTATCAGCTGTTTGGACTTTCATTGTGACGGCACCCTTTCAAAGAATCCATTGATCAGTGTGTGGTGTAACGCTAAATTTCTCTAAATCTTTTCTGATGAAGAAAAACTCTTCTACATCTTGGATTGTCTGACGGTAAGTAAATTTCCAGCAAATTTTGGTGAACTACTCTTTTAAATATATTCATTTAAAATATATAAGTATGCTAAAATGTACTTCTTTTCCATAAGGGTGGTTAGTTGCATTATTATTTGTATTTAGTGTTGTTTTATTTCCCTGCTGTCTGCAACCGAATATAAGGTCACAACCCACCAGCTAATCAGAACTGCTGATTTAGATCGTGAAACATCTGTTCTGGTTATGAGTAAAAGCTAATAATGAAGAAAATTCTTTGTTAGGATGCACACAAATGGTTAAACTGTCATCGTATGAGATGAGCTTCATTGCCTCCTCATTTCCCTCATGATTTGTCATAGTTAAACCTATTGCAACACTTTCTGCTCTACTGGCAGTACGCAGAATGCAAAGACCATTAACAAATCTAATCTATTTGAGAATCTAACAAATAACCTGCAGTGAACAAGGTCTGAGTCATTGCACTCAAATTCAATTGCACACTGGATGCATGCGATTTCGCTCTCTGGTGTTGATGCAGCAGACAGGTTTTGGACTTGTTTTGTTCTCTAGCTGCTCAGAGATCGCTAACACTAATGGACTAAACTCCTAAGACTGGGATAAGTAGTGCAGAGTCCATTCCTGAGTTTGATTTGGGCCACAGTTATTTGTTATTTTAACAGAAGGTGTTGCAAAGCTGATTATCAAATTTACTAACCAACAAGTCACGAATGTTTCCCAAAACAGTATCAACATGGTTGCACCTCTGTCGTATGAACCACATTAGTTCAACAATATAGGACTGCCGTTAATGAGGTCTCACACACAGGTGACGGAGTAATAACATCTGCTAATTAATCCTTTTAATTTCTCTGGGATGCTGCTAATGAACATGTCACCTGATGACTACTTCAATGGTTTTTTGTTCCCTGTCATTTTGCTTTATATGATGTTCGATTCATCAAAGGTTCCCTCATACGTCATACTCCTTGCGCATTTATGTACATGTGTACTCTTCAAAAACTGATTGCTGACCATCTAAAATAAATAGATTGAAACATATGTATTCAAATGGAATAAATAACTAACAAGAAACTACACTTCTAAGCAATGCTGTTTGGACCCCGATGTTCTTCAAAATATCTTTTGTGTTCCACAGCAGAAAGGAAAGTCATACAGGTGTGGAACGACATGAGGGTGAATAAACGATGACAGAATTGTCGTTTTTGGGTGAGCTATCACTTTAAGTCCAACTTACTCCAAAAACTAAAAATCTAATAAATATTATGTAAATATTGTGATCTACTGAAAGTCAAACCATTGACAACTCACAAGAAACATTCCATGATTCATTGAACTGTACAGTGCACTTCAACTACAACAGCGAATCATCAGAACATTAGAAAATTATCAGCTTGATTCTCCAATAAAGTTCACATGAAAAGAAAAGATGCATGATGATTTTCATTTGTGCAAACATTCCCATCGAGACCAGGCAGTGCATGCCCGAATTCATTTTCATTTGAATGCATAGCGAGGGCGTATAACCTCTTCTGACTCATGACATTTCGTTTGAAAGTTTCAGTCCTTTTCAAAGTTGCTCTCATAAAAAGAACTTCGACCACATTTACATGCTTAATAATATTACAGTATGAATCTGAATTTGCTAATGTTCAGTCAGCGTCAAGCATACATTTTGAAGCCAGGAAGAGACTGATTTTAATTCTTTCACAAATATTAAAAAATAATAATGAAATGAACATAAATACACAGACAGACAAAATCACTCTAGCAGTCTCATGTTTGAAAGGTTACTGACTTGCATTTCCTAATTCATCCTTTTATCCTCATCTGCTGTCATTACGGACATGAATGAGGATGAATGTTTGGATTAAAGTACCAAAATGCAGCATAACAAATAGCAAGAGCGGGCAGATTAGAATAGCGGGAAAAGAACGTGCATGTTGTAGTTTATTCAAAGGTTTCCATGAAATATGTTGATTATGATATACAGAAATAACCATATATGTGTACAGTCATGGCCAAAAGTTTTGGCAGTGACATAAATTTTGTGTTTTGCAAAGTTTGCTGCTTAAGCTGTTGTGGTGTTCATTCACATTGTTTCTATATTAGAGTGATTAGATGCATTTTAAATAATTGCTAAAAGCTTCATTGGCCAAAAAATGAACTTTTCACAAAAAAAATAAATAAAATTCAGTTTTTTGATCCTGACACAAAATGACCAGCTAACATTAATTGACTAATCATATCAGCAGCACATGTGAAAGTGTGAATGAGTAGTAGTCACGGATTGCTATAAAAATCATGTGACCACCAGTGCAGAGCTTGCTCAGGAATGGCAGCACGCAGCAGGTTGGTGAGAGCATCTGCAGCTTTATATGCTCGAATAGCAGCGTAAACAAGACCATGAGGATTCAATCGTCACATCATGCACCTGCAGCGCTTCTGTGAAAGGAGAAAAACAGAAATTAAAGCCACCTTTCCACTATCTCCGACAAGCGACAGACCGGAAGTCATTCATTTCCAATGGAGAGTAGTGCGGGAGCTCCGATCATATTCGTATGCGGAAAAACTCGGATCAGATTTGAGCTGCGGATGCATTAAAATATTTGAACTTCTGCGGCTAGACCGTATGCGACCGGCCAACCAGATGTGATGTATTCTATTAAAAACTATGAGTGTAAGGTTAGAATTACCAATATCACTTTACCATTATTCTTTAAACACTATTTCTGTAAAATGGTGCTTTAGAATAATTACGGCAGAAATAAGTATTTTCTAATTATTAAATCATTATTTACAATGAATAGCCCCATAAAACCTACTGTTTTTATTTTGGGGGTCATTTGTGACGATACATTCATACAATAATCATTCAAATCATTAATTTTACCATGGTTAATATGCCGAGGTAACGGTTGCTGCACGACCAATTTGAAAGTACTGTGCGACTGCCACTAGGGGGAGAAATGCGACAGTCGTGTCCCAATGTCGTGTGCAGTGGAAAGGCGGCTTAAAGTCGCCATGAAACGGAAGTTGCGATTGTCTTTTCTTCTCTACTGTGACGTAAGACGATAATCAACGGCACAAAACATGCCTAAACAGCACGAGAGAGAGAGACTGCCTGAATGACTGAGCGCGTCCGCCATCAGGTTAAGTCATATTCATAAAAAAAATTAGTTTGCGACGTCCTAAGAGTAATGTTGTCGTAATATCCTAATATCTTTTCAATGTTTAGGGGTAATGTACTCCCTCATGGCTGGTGTCAGTGCTATAAAGTGAAGCATCATCTTCAGCTTTTCCCCCTGTCGTTTATTCCAAACGTCACTGATGTCACTGCAGCTGCTGGCAGTTCCAGATAGCTCCGCCCTTGCGCCATAGCTCGTGACCGGAAGAGAAAATGAGTTGTTTTGAGGGGGAGGGGAATTTAATATTTTTGATTAAAGATTACGAGGGCACATTAATTAAAAAAATAATAATGAAGTGCACGGATAAATTATTTATAATAAACACTACAGTATTCTATTAAAAAATCAAGAATTTTCTATTTTGATTTCATGGTGACTTTAAGTCTATAAAGCCGCCTTTCCACTATCTCCGACAAACGACAAGAGACAGACTATTTTCATTCAGTCGTTCATTTCCAATGGAGAGTAGTGCGGGAGCTGCGTGGAATTTCAATCATATGTGTATGCGGAAAATTCGGATCCAATTTGAGCTTCGGATGCGTTCAAATATTTGAACTTCTGCGGCTAGACCGTATGCGACCGCCCGACTGGATGTGATGTATTCTAATCAAAAATATGAGCGCGAGGTCAGAATTACCAATATTTTTCCACTTTAACGTTATTCTGTAAACACTATTTATGTAAAATGGCAGTTTATAATAATTATGGCAGAAATAATTATTTTATAATTATTAAATCATTATGTACGTTGATTAGCCCCATAAAAATACTGTGTTTTTATTTGGGGGGTCATTTGTTTTGTTTGGATATATTCATACATTCATTGTATTCATTAACAGTGTACATTTTGCCATAGTGATAAGTCGAGGTTGACGGTTGCTTCACGACCAGTTTGAAAGTTCTGCGCGACTGCCGCTAGGGGGAGAAATACAACAATCGTATCCAAATGTCGGAGACAGTGGAAAGGCGGCTTTCAAGGAATAAAATAAATAGGATAACACAAAATATATATAATAGGCTATAATATAATTAACAGATTAACAAAAGGAAAAAAAAAAAAACACTGTGCAAC